CCCCCCTTCCTTTCTTGGTGGTCACCCTTACCCTCATCTTGCTCCTCCCTGTCTCACTGGAGCCCCTCTCAAATCACAAAGTCCCTATTCATTGTTTCATCAAGGGCCCTACCCTGAGAACTTAGAAGGGCATTTTAAAAATGGGTAGAGTAGCTCTGGATCAAGATAAAGCAGCGTTCAGAGATATCGTACATAGGGTTGCTATGAGTTAGTTGCAAGTTACTTGATGGCACATAACAATAACAACAGTTCTGGATGAGCAGAAAACCTCTCCTCAGAGAACAGCCCAGAACTGAATTGGTCACACCTGCCTGTGCTAGTTTGTTTTGTAGTCAAATCTGGACTAAAAAAATCCAAGATGTGACCTCATGGCAACTACGTGAGTGGAATAGGAAGAAAAATAGTCTGGTGAATATCACTTTGCAAGGTTTCTGATAGTATTGCTTCAAAATTAGCTTACCCCCCCTTTGGTTGTTTTTTAAAAAATTTATTAATTTTAATGAAAGTTTACAGAGATTTAGGATTTCCAGTCACCCCCCCCCTTTGTTTCTGATGTTATAATTGGTTGTTAAGCCATTGGAGGGATGCTCCGGGGAAAAGAATTCCAGACAGTGAAAAGATGGAGAAAAATGATTGTTGGCCAGTGATGATTAACTGGGTTGCTGTAGGCTAGTGCTGGTGGCATCATGGAGGGGTTTACACACTGTTGTTGTGAGGTGCAATTGGGACTCTGACTCAATGACCCAATCAATGCCTGAAACCCTGCTTGATCCTGCCCCCGCCTCATGAACTGTGCTTAATTAAGGTAGCTGGTGTAGTCACTCTGTCCGTCTATCTCATTTGAGAGTCTTCTTTTTCACTGATCCTCTGACTTTGCCAATCATATTTGTCCCCAGAGGCTGGCCCTTTCTGCCAACATGCCCAAAGTATGAGATGAAGCCTCACCATTCTCATTTCTAAGGAGCATTCTGGCTGCACTTTGGCAAGTCAGATTTACATGTTTTCTTGGCAGTCCAATGGATTTGTTCAAGAGCACAGCAAAAGGGATTCTGTGGGAGTAGAGGAGCCAGCTGGGTTTCTGAATCTCTGGTGCCAAGGAGGTTAGCAAGGGGAAGGATGGAGAAAGCCATCCTGCACCACTGACTCATAGTTGCGCTGCCAACCCAAACGCATGCGGTTCGAACCCACCAGTTGCTCCATAGGAGAAAGATGGGCAGTCTCCTCTCATGCGATTTACTGCCTCTGTAGCCCACTGGATGATCAGCTAGAAGTTGGTTCCAACTCGATGGTACATAACCACCACCTCCTGAGAAAATAAGTTGATGGTATCCCTACCCCCTATGCACCACCACCACACCCTCCCTATCACAGGGCCTGTCTAGTTAATTCCACTCATGAGGATTCTGTGTGTAGAATAGAAGTGTGCTCTGTAGATTTTTTTCCTTCTCAAGTATTTATTTAAAAATAAAATTTTTATTTTATAATGGTTTACATAGCTACATAGATTTTTTTTTTTCCAATGACTAATTTTTCTAAGTAGACCACCAGGCCTTACTTCCAAGGCACCTCTGAAGACTCAAAGACCCAATGTTAGCAATTGAGCATGTAATTGTGTTGCTCAGTGACACAGTGAGGAAATGGTAGGAACATGCATGGCATGTTAGTCTATCCAAGAGGGGATTAGCTAGTTTCACCATTCCGTCAGGTTTGGTGACCTCAATAGCAGTAAGTAAGAAGCAGCATGCATTTGGGGGGGGGGGAACAAAGATTTCTGCACTCAGATTAAAACCTTCAAGAAACAGCAGCCACAACAGAGAACCAGAGACCTGACATGAGATAGAGCTGGCCTGGGACTTCTGCCTCATGGAACCTGAACAAGGATCTTGTTGGAGGACTTGCGAGTAGATGAGGGAGACACCTTAATTGGTAGTACTAGGAGACCTTTGTAAGACTGGCCTAAAGCTGCAAGGCTGAAAAGAATTTTATCTTGTTGCCAGCCTGAATTGTAACCTGTTAACTTCCCTAATACACTTTTTTATTAAGTATGGTTCTCTGAGGACTGGGTTGCAATTGCAATGGATTTTTGGACCCAGGACAGTAGGCTGGATGCTAAAATTAGAAAAGTGGTGCAGGAGCATGGGGCTGCAGGGGGATGTGGTCTGACCTCATGGGAATTGGGTTTGTGTCGTGGATGCTGTTGATGGGGACAGCTCTACTTTGTGGAGTTAGCAAAGGTCAGACTGTGGTCCGCACATTGCCCTCACGCTTTTTAAGCATGGTGATACCTTTTTGCTCGGATATCAGTTTTTTCTCAATTCTGCTCTTATTCCAACTCCAGCTCTACTCAGCTTTGTAATGTTGGTGCTGTGTTGGTGACTCAGTGGTAGAATTCTTGCCTTCTATGTAGGAGATTCCATTTCATTTCCAAACAATTTCATGAGTATCCATAGTGGGGGCTTATATGCTGCTATGATGTTGAATGGATTTCACACTAAGATGAACTAGAAAGGCTTGAAGATTTACTTCTGAAAACCAGCCAACAAAGACTCTACAGAGAACAATGATCCAGTCTGGAATTGTGGGGATATCACATGACTGGGCAGCATTCTGTTTCCTTCTGTGTGGCTCTTCATGGGTCGAGGATTGACTCAAGGGCAGCTAACATGTCCTGTCATATCTGCTCCTGCTCTCAACATTTCAGAATTGAAGAGCTGCTCATGGCACTTTCTGGCATGTCACTGGGAAATAAATAATTGACTTCCTCTTGGGTATAGGAGTCAAAGTTGGGGACTCAGGACCACAAAATCTCATTCTAGGAAATAAATTACCCAAAGTGGCTGACACAGTAGGCTTAGTTCAAAGATTGAGAAATGATAAACCCTTATCTATGAATTCAATACTTAAGGAACTATAACTAGCAAAGTTTGGACATCAGTGCTCTATGCCAGCTTCCCCCAGAAGAAGGCCTTGAAGTGAAAGAGGGCCAAAGACACACTACAGTATCTTCTGAATAAATGTTTTAAAGACTAATTGTAAATAGATACAGGCTTCAAAGATAAAGGACAGGCCTCTTCAGAGATTCAGAAGTAGAACTTCCCAAAGTGAAAGATTACCACAAAGAAACTCACATAAAATTTTGGAATTCATTAAAATGCCGACATTTTCTACACTTTCCTTTCTCAAAGGACTTTTTTTTAAAGAAAAGCTGTAAGTAAGTGTTGTTTAGAGAGGTTTAGGAGTCCTGGAGGTACACAGGTTAAGCCCTTGGCTGCTAACCCAAAGATTAGCAGTTTGACACCACCAGCTGCTTACTTGCGAGAAAGATAGGACAGTTTACTTCCATAAAGGTTTCAAGCCTTGGAAACCCTAAAAGGCGGTACTACTCTGACCTACAGGGTTGCTAGGAATTGGAACTGACTTGCAGGCAATGCGTTTAGTTTTTTAATGTGGGCTAGAAGAATTGGAATTAAATGTAAAAATATGCCAACTAACTATTAACAAATGAGCTCAAAATGAATCAATTACAGAAACTGCTTCCCTCTGACTTCCATGAGGGAGCTCTGGTAGCACAGTCTATAATGAGTTGTATGCTAACCCAGAGGCTGTGCCTTCCTGGTCATTTGAATCCATCAGCGGCTCCGGAGGATAAAGATGGGCAACTCCTCCTATGGGTTCTAGTCTTGGAAAACCTGCTAGAGGGTCAGTTATGAGTGAAATGTGACTTGATGGCCATGTGTTGCTCCCTTCCTGTAAGAAAAACACCTAATTCCTATCCTCAGGAATAAGAACCAGATCTCTAGAAGGATTAGAAATTCTATAATGCAGGCACACTGGTGTCACACTGTATCTAGTCCTCAGTGCAATCTGAGGCATCTCAATAGGTTATGGTTGGAAAAAACGGTCTTCTCTTGAACTAACAATTCAGCTAAGAGTTTGAAAATGACTGGACAGCAAGGCATCTAATCTAAACCTTCAGTAGAGATCTGCTTAGATATAATATTGACCCATGATCACACACATAAACACTTTATTAAGTTTCCTCACTAAGAAACAGTGACATCAGTATTTTTAACACACATTTCAGGTTATCTGAGAGGCCAAAGAGATCCAAGGAAGGAAGAAGAAATTATTTAGATGAATCAAAAGGCACCACACCATCGTCTAAAATCTACTACCATGGTGGCAGTAGCCAAGGAAGAGTAAGCTATGGCAAAACACGTGATGTAAATATTAGAGATCACATAGCAGGAAGCAAGTCTGCCTTCCATAAGACTATGGTACACTTTGGCCAGAAAAAAAGGTCAAGATGGTGGAAGGTAAAGCCAAATCAAAATGAACAGGTACAAAGGAGAATCCAAGATGCGTAGTCCTCGAGTAGATGCTGTTGAATCAGTCTTCTTTTTCCAAAGAAGCATTTGCTAGCACTGGGCTGCCTCCCTTCATGACCCCACTCAATGGCACTATAAGCGAAAAGCTTATTCTTGCCTTATATGGAGCTTGCGCCCAGGAGAACTAAGTTGGGGTTACCTAGGGCTCTGCTATAATTTAGCATAGCCTTTGGGAGTTTGTGACACACCGCGGGGCGGGGGAGGGGGGTGCCTGACACATAATTGGGGGTTTGTTAATGTACTGGGTTGGCTTTGTTGCTAGTGGTTCTGAACAAAGAGGAACCCTGAAGCATTCACATGCAAAGCAGCCCAAGCGTCCCCCACCCTTACCCTCCAGCACCCCTACACAACACCCTCGAAGTCTAAATTCTTGCAGCAGCTGAGCTGTAGTTAAAGCTGCAAGGCTCCTACAGATCATCCATGAAGACAGAATGAGACTAGGCAGGAGAGCCCCACAATCTCAATCTGTCTCTTCTCAAATTAGGACTGGCTGTAATATACCTGACGTGGGATGTAGCAAGCTACACTGGAGCAAGCTGGTTCTTCTGAGGAACTTCTTATCAAATACCAAAGAAAAATCAGGGATGGTGGAGGCGGAGGGGGTTGTTGTTTATTGAAAAGCCTCAGAAGCTATCGTGTTACAAAGGGACATGGCTGAAGAGATAGGACACAGACTCTCCATTGTGAGTTCTCCTGATGGCTTCTGCAAGGATCATGGAGATGTCAATCACCTATAAAGGCAAGAAAGTGGCAGGTTAATACCATACAGACAGAAGATGACTGGCAAATGCGCAGACACTGATGAGCAGCCGGATGAGCATCCTTCCTCTTAAAGGAACAGGTGATGTTTCCCTCAGGGGTCTGCATTCAGTGTGACCTTTCCTAACGTTATGAATATAACCACTTGGGAAAAAAATAAAAATGCTAATGGGGAGAAATTCTGATTTGGACACATCAAGGAGATGGTGGATGGGCATTCAAAAAATCCCTAAGGATGAAATTCCTAAGAATGAATGGATGAGGCTGGCACAGGATAGGACAGGGCTCAGATCTGCTGTTCACAGGGTTGCTATGAGTTGTATTTGACTGGACGGCACTTAACAACAACTAGAATGAAGGGGGAGAAAAACCAAAAGAAGGCTATTTAGCCAAAAAAAAAAAAACAAAACCACAACAACAAACAAACAAGAAAATCTACTAGAATGACAATATCCACTGCTATTGAGTTGGTTCTGAGTTATGGCAAATCCTCATCAGGTTTCTGAGGGCAATAAATCTTTTATAGGAAGAGACTGCCCATCTTTCTCCCAAATTGGCTCGAACCACCAATCTTTCAGGCACCAAGGGTTCTAGAATGACAGTAATCCTGTGGATCGAGGTAGATTAGTTAAAAGTTTTGCTCTTTTAATGTGACAACACTCAAATTTTAGTGTGTAATATTTACTTTGGGGAGTACTTTAAGGTACTCGTTCCAGGTTCATTGGTTTGAAAGGTCAAGGACCTACATTTTAACAAGAACTTCAAGTAATCTAGAGGGGGTTTCCAGCATGCACTTTGAGAAACATGGAAGTTCTAAAGAGAAAATGAACCATCAGTTTCAACATTTTACATTGTCAGCAGGGGGCAACAGCTAGACATAGGCACATATATACAAATATTCATCAGAATCACTGGGTGAAGCTGTTAAAAAATGCAAAAAATGCTAAGCTGTAACCTCCAGCAATAAAGACTCTTGAAATCTATAGTCTTTTACTTTTTCTATCACAGATACAAATGACAAACTAAACTCTTAAAGAATCAAGAATGAAATCTTCAGAATCAGACATCTATTGAAGCACATACAACCACTTCTTAAAAATTTCGTGAAGTCATGCTTTACCAGAATGGCATCCTAACCTGTATTTTGGAGCAATGCTTCATTTTGTCCTCTTGAGGTATGGTATTAGTCACTACTACTGCTTCAAAGCATGCGTTGTTGATGCGAGAAATGGCTGGGCCAGAAAAGATCCCATGGGTTAAGATAGCATATACTCTGGTGGCTCCAGCTGAGAGAAGTCTAGGAGAAAAGGCCAAGTTGATTTGGATTAATCTTATTTGTCACTTTAAAATACAAGTTAGAAAGGGCAGAGAATCGGACTAAGAACATATTTGAACAGGATTAAGGTTAGAACTGAATAGGTTTAAGGTTAAAGCCCATTGCTGTGCTCAACAATATCCGTCCCCAGGTCCACAGCTGGACTTCCCTTTCCCAGCCTCCCTTGCTTAGTGAGGTGTGGCTGTGTGACTTAATTGTGGCTACTGATAACAATGCAACAGCACTTTGGGGTCAGTTCCTGAAAAATCTTCTGTGGATGATCCTCTATGCTCTTTTCCTTTTCTGGCTAGCCAAAAACGGAAATGGTTTCCAAGGTAATCTTAAAGTCACACATTAAAGATGCAGAACCACAAGATCAACATAGAGCCTAGGTCCCTACTCAGAAAAGGATATAGGGGATCCTAGATAGAGTCGGGGGGGACATGCGAACAAAAGCCAAACATATAAAAGGCCAGGCTTACTGGTCTGATAGATACTGGTTCATTCTCTGAGACTATGGACCTTAGTCTCTGTCTGAGCCTAGAACAAATTTACCAGTGCGACTCAACTTTCAACCAAACAACAGACAGACCTATGAGATGACTGACCAGGTAGGCACTCCTTATGTCCAGTCATACAAGAACAAAAGAGCTGCATTTTCCCAGGGAGAAAGTCCAGAAGGCAGGAAGGGGTAGGATTAAAAGGATTCATGGAAACCAGAATCACAGAGAACGAGTTGTCACCGGAACAAATCAAAGGAATACTGCTTTGTTTGAAACCAGCAAAGGTATGCATCAGGTTTGTATTGTCTCTCCATCCCTATTCAATCTAATCAATCGAGAAGCTGGACTCTATGAACAGGAATGTGGCATCAGTATTAGGAGAAGACTCATCAGCAACCTGTGTTATGCAGATGACACAAACTTGCTTGCTGAAAGTGAGAAGGACTTGAAGCACTTGCTGTAGAATATCAAACAATACAGCCTTCAATATGAATTGCATCTCAACATCAAGAAGATAAAATTCATCACCATTGGACCAACAGGAAACATGATAGATGGAGAAAAAATTGAAGCTGCCAATGACTTCATTTTACTTGCTGTTATTACCCATCCATGGTAACAGCAGTCAAGAAATGAAAAGAATGGTGCATGGGGGAAATCTACTGGCAAGGATCTCTAAAGTGCCAAAGAGCAATGATGTCAATTTAAAGACAACAGTGTGCGTGATCTAAGTCACAGCATTCTCAATTTCTTTTTACATATGTGAAAGTTGAGTAGGGTGTGCCCTAATATAACGATGATATTTAAACCAAAGTTTGTGCTACTTCAGTGGTTCAAAACCACCAATAGCAGGGAAGCTCTGGTGGCCTAGTGGCAAGGAACTGCAACTACAATCCCAGAGGCGAATGGTTCGAACCCACCAGATGCTCTGCCGGGGAAGGAGGGACAATCTCCTCCTGTAACAGTCAGATCTTATTTGATGGTACATGCGCACGCACACACACACATAATAAACAAATAAATTAAAAAAAAACAAACAAAAAAACCACCAATAGCTACCCTGGAGAAGATGGGCAATCTCCTCCTGTTATTCATAGTAACCTCAGAAACCCACTTGGGGGTCAGCTACGAGTCATTTCTGACTCAAAGAGGATGATAGAGAAAGACTCTTTTGATCAAAGATTTGATAGAAGAATCCTGATCAAAAAGGGAAAAATATAGAACAGAATTCCACATTTTCATAAAATCTAGTCCTTTTGGAGCTACAGAGGTTAGATGAATACTTCAAATTATTGCCCTGAGATAATCTTTAAACTGAAAACCAAAATAATCCCCTGAAGTCTTTTTAAAACCAAATAGTAGTGTAGCTTACCCTGTAAAAAAATGTTCACCTTGAGAATTATGCTTTTCTAAGGATCTGTTTACCATATTTTTATGAAAATAGTATGTATCTTCTACTTTTGTTTATCCATAATTTCCTTCCCACAAGAGAGATTTCTGTAAAAGGGCTATATTTTCTTTTTCTTAACAGCAACACAAAAAATCCAAAAACTGGCATAGCAGCTTTTAAAAAAATATCTCCCAGTAGGACTAACTGGAAAACAAATGTAGAAGGCAAATATTGTTTGCATAAAAATACATAATCAACTTGACAATGGCAACTCAAAAGATTAGATAGGAAACTAAAGAGGAGGTGAGTTTTATGTTAATGAGGAAGGGAACAATTCAGAAAAGGTGTGGGAATGGATGTACAACTCAAAGAATGTTGCTTAAGAATAGGTGGCACAGAACTTTGAACTGGTATATATTCTGCTTCTGCTGTGTATATCCTCAACAACAGAGAAGAAAATGACTTTAAAAGTCACCCAGTATGTAGCATTTTGTTATAGCAGTCCTATGAAACTAGTCTGTCTGGGAAGAAATGCAACCAGGCTGCCCCTTAGCAGCAAAGATGGTGAAGCTTCATCTCATATACTTTGAGCATGTTTTGAGGAGGGACTAACCATTAGAAAAGGACATCAGGCTAGGAAAGGCAGAGGACTAGAGAAAGAAAAGAAGACCCTCAATGAGAGAGACAGTAACTTTAACAGTGGGCTAGAGCTTATCAGAGATTGGAAGGATGGTGCAGCACAGGGCAAGGTTCCTATCTGTTGCTATGAGTCACAGTGAACTCTGGAAACCAATACAGGAGACAGTGTGAAAGACAGATAGGGGAGAGTAGAGATTGGTGACTGACAACAAAGAGAACAGTGAAGAAACAAATGAGAACAGTGCATGTCAGGACCTAAAAAGACTCATGTGAACTAAGACAGTAACAGCTGAAACGGACAGCTAAGAGGTAGTTAGGATTATCAGCTTAACTAAAATATAAATAGGACCCATTTCTGCTTTCCTAGACCTAGAAATGCCTTCCTTGGTTAAAACAGATCCAAAGCAGTGTGCTCATTAATCTATATGTATTCTACTTTAAGCCTAGATGGATGCAAAGCACCCTAAGATACTTATCATCCTCTCCACTTCCTAAAAGTATCAGCAGGCTCTTCAGCCAGTCCGGCTCGCTCTGTACTTCTACCTGGCCCTATAGGTCCACACTTACTTGTCAGCTGCGTGGCAGATTGTACCACAAGTGTCGGCCATGTCATCCACGAGGATAGCCACTCGATCCTTCACGTCACCCACGAGCACCATGCGGTCCACTTCATTGGCTTTCTTCCGTTCTTTGTGAATCAAGGCAAAGTCCACATTCAGCCGGTCTGCGATGGAGGTCACTCTGCCAAACAGTGGATGCTCAAAGTTAAAACCTGCAAGTGTGGCTCGAAGACAAAAGCAACAGACTATTTCTCCTTTTCCCCTTCTGAGTTGTTGTGGGTTCTTTTAAATTATTTTATATTGGTTTGCATACCAAATCTGTACACATTGTGTTTCAGACTTTCTTTCATTCTCATTGACAAATGGGAACAGGATACCTAAGGAGAAACTAGGAAGAGTGCTGCTGCAGTCATGGGATTACAATGATTATCAAGAAACAAACTGTGTGTAACCAGTGGAATGGGAGTTAATTTGTTCTGTAATCTCTCACCAAAATAAAAAGAAAATGGTTTTAAAATAAAAGCAATAGATTAAAGATTGCTTTCTAGAGATATTTTGCTTCATGAAACCCAAAATCTCCTGGGGCAGGGAGAAAGTCACCACCATTGGATGACTTCTCAAAGGCAAACATCACAGACAGGGTTTTGGGGTTTGGGTTTTTTTCCACGTCTTTTTTTAAAAATTTATTATTAATTTCAATAAAAATCTACAGAGACTTTGGATTTCCAGTCATTCATTGTTGCACTTTTCTACCCTCCCAATCCTCCCCCCTCGTATTCTACCCTCTTGGAAAAGTAAAAGAAAAATTCTTTCATTGTTTTATAATCCGTGCCACTAAGCAGCCTTCCCTCTGGACTCCTGTCATGACAAAAATACCTAATCACATATCCCTTTTAAACATTTTCTCCCTCATTTGTTTCAATGCAGTATACGTTACTGAACCCATCTTTCTCAGTCTCCCCACAACCCCGAGGTCAGTCCTGTTTTACAACAGGGGCACTATGCAGTATTTGTCCTTTTGTGACTGAAATACTTCACTCAGCATAATGTCCTCCAGGGTCATCCATTTTGAATAATATTGCATGAGTTCCTTGTTTTTCAATGCAGTGCAGTATTCCATTGTGTGAATATACCACACCTCCTCTATACATTCGTTTGTTGATGAACCATCAGGGCTTCTTTTTTCCCTATTCATTTATTGTGGCACATTTTTCTCCCTCCCCTAGTCGACTTTGTAATCCATTCCTTGTTCCAGATTATTGTCACTGGGACAACCGGCAGCATTATGATGGATGGTGAAGAGATTGAGACTATTAACAGCCTTAGTTTGCTTGGCTCCACAGTCAACATTTTTGGCACCAGCAGCCAGGAAACCAAAAGACGTATTGTGATGGGAAAACCTGTTGTTAGAGACCTCTCCAAAGTACTGAAAAGCAATCATGTCATTCTGGAGACTAAGGTGTGCCTGATACAGGCTACGGTCTTTGCAATCACTTGCTATGCATCAGAGAGATGGACAATGACTGGGAATGATAGAAGAGGAATTGATGCCTTTGGGCATCCAGCCTGTTCCAGTGCTCACACCCTCATCACATTCCCTTCACTCAATGAGGGTAGCAAAATATCCAGTCAGTGTCAACTGTACCAAGCTTGAGGGCACACCCAGTGACTTAACTATACAATTTGGTGGTCTCCCCACTCCTTTTACAAAATGATATAAGCCAGACTGGAAAACAGGATAGAGGACAAAGCTGTCTAGTGAAAATCTATCAAGTGAGTCACTTAAACATACATTCGTTCAATATAAACAACACTGTGCTAGTTAGCACCAAGGCATCACCCTCCTCATATACAAGGAGGTATGTGCTCTGAATTGTTCTGAGTGTGCTTTTGGCGATAGTTTACAAAGCAACTCAGCAGCTTCCCCTTGGAAAGTTCATGCATCAGTCATTCCCATTTGTACATAAAGTATTCTACAACACTGGAAGCATTTTTCCTTAAGCTTCCCTAGTATTGAAATTTTCTACCCCTTCCTGCCTTCTCCTCTTTGCTGTTGGGCAAATGTTGTCCTTTTGATCCCACATAATTGATTGTTCCAAAGGACATGTTCATCCTCTTGGGTGGTACTGTTTATTTTATGGGCCTGTCTAGTTATGGACTAAAAAAAGGTGGCTCACAGAAATGGCTTCAGTTCCAGTGTGGAAGAAGGTCTCAGGGCCACAGTTTCAGGCGTTCCTCCTGTCTCTGACCCACCAGTTAGTCTGGTCTTTTTTGTGAATTTGAGTTTTTGGTTGTTGTTCTACATTTTTCTCCCAGTGTGCACTGTGATCCTAGTCAGAGTGTCAGAAGTGGTAGCTGCACTTCACCTGGTTCTAGTTTCAGGGCTGTGTAGGCTGTGGACTGATTCCCTGAGTCTTTAATTATTTTCATATTCTTTTGTTCTAGACAGGAAGAGACCAATAGTTATATCTCAGATGTCCACTTACAAGCTTTGAAGACTTCAGATTGTTGTTGCTGTTAGGTGCCATCGAGTTGAATATGACTCATAGTGACCTTATGAACAAGAGATCTGAGCCCTGCCCTATCCTGTGCTATTCTCACACTTCCTGACACACTTGAACCCACTGCTGCAGTAACTGTATCAATCCAGTTGGTTGAAGGTCTTCTTCTCTTTCACAGTCCCTCCACCTACCTAAGCATGATGTCCCTCTTTGAGGTAAAGCCTCTCCTAGCAACATGCCCCAAGATGTGTGACGAAGCCACCAAAGAGCACTCTGGATCCACCTTCTCCAATATATATCTGTTAGTACCCTTCTCCAACACCACAGCTCAAAGGCATCAATTCTTCTGTCATCCTTAATCACTGTCCAGCTCTCAGAGGCACAGCAGTGACTGAAAAGTTGTGGTGCTAGAGAAATATATTAAACATACCATGGATCACCAAGAGAACAAATGCATTTATCCTGGAGAGGGTGAAACCAGGCTGCTACTTGGAGGCAAGGATTTTGAAGCTCTGTTTCACATGTGCATGTAGCCAGGAGGGATCTGTCCCTGGAGAAGGGCACCACTCTTGGAAGGGTAGAGAGACAGTACAGGAGAGAAAGACCCCAGATGAGATGGATTGACATAGTAACTGGGGTAATGGAGGTAGGTGTGTCGGAGCCAGTGAGACTGGCTTCAGTCAGTGAGGCTTCAGAGCTGCTGTACCTAGGGTCGTTATGAGTCACAGGCAACTTGACGGAACATAACAACAACAAGAGAGCTCTGGTAGCCTAGTGGTAAAGAGCTGCAGTGCAATCCCAAAGGCACGTGGTTTAAATCCACCAGCTGCTCTGAGGGAGAAAGATGGGCAATCTCCTCCCATGCAATTAAACTGCATCTGAAAACCCACTGAGGGGGTCAGCTCTGACTTGATTATATACAAGAGCAGTGGGATTTCTGGATCATATATCTATTTCTAGCTTTTTAAGGAAGTGCCATATTGTTCATAACTGTTCCATGTTACATTCTTGCCAGTAGTGTAAAGCGTTCCAAACTCCCTAGAATGTCACTAAGATTTGTTATTCTGCTCTGCTAGAAAAAGATGGGCAATCTCTTCCTGTGCCCCTGAAAACCCACTAGAGGGTCAGCCATGGGTTGGTTCGGACTTGATTACACACAACAAAAACAACAATTATTGTTGGGTGAGATACTATTTTATCGTCATTTTGATCTGTATCTCTCTAATGGTTAAGTGGCGCTCTGGAAGCTTAGTGCATAGATAGGGCAGGGAGTTTGAACACGCCAGCTGCTCCACGAGAGAAAGATGGGAAATCTCCCAGGCAATTAACCGCCCCTGAAAACCTATAGAGGGTCAGCTATGAGTTGGTTCCAACCTGACGGCAAAGAGAGCATTGACAGACTAGTCCATAGGGAGCTATGCTGCTAACCCAAAGGTGGTTCAAAGGCACTAGCAGCTCTGCAGGACAAAAATGGGCAACGTCTTACCATGTGATCTACAGCTTCAGAAACCCACTGGAGGGTCAGCTGTGAGTCAGTTTTAACTCCACAGCAATGATCTTGATTTTCTGAATAGTTAAAAGATAGAGCTGTGGTGGCATAGCCTGTAGCTAGTTGCCTCTCCACTGGTGGCTCCTTTCTCCCATTACATTTTTCTCTGATTACAATTTACAGCCTTGGAAACCCAACGGAGTAGTCAGTAAGAATCAGAACAGACTCAACAACAATGAGTTTTTAAGTTGTTGTTTTTTTTTGAAAGGTTGATGATGGCAGGCATTTCTTCATGTGTCTGTCTTCTCTGATGAAGGGTCTGTTCATGTCTTTTGCCCATTCTTTTATTGGATTGTTCGGCTTTTTAAAAATTATTAATTTTAATGAACATTTACAGAGATTTTGGATTTCCATTCATTCATTGTTGCGCTTTTCTCCCTGCCCCACCCCCCACCCCCAGTTTGCTCTTCTCTTTCAAAAGTAAAAGAAAAATTCCTTCATTGGTACACAATCCCCCCACACTCCCTCACCCCCACTGCCCCAAGTATACTGCACTCTGAAACCCTCATTCTGAACTCTTATGATAATCATAATACCATATATTGCTTTTGAACTGTTCTGTCCGTCATCCGTTTCAATGCAGTATACATAATTTATCCAGTTTTTCTCATTCTTACCCCAACCCTGATGTGAGTCCCATTCTACAAGAGTGGCACTATGAAGTGTTTATCCTTTTGAAACTTTACTTCTATTTGTATTTCATCGGACCTCCCTCCCCGCTAAATCTGGACTGGTTTTTGCTGTTTATAGTAACGTTGATCTAACCACAGTATCGGGTCTTGCTTCTCTTGTGACTATGGTTACATATCTGGCTGAGTCTCTGCTGGATTGGGGAGACTATGTGACTGCATAGAATACACAGAGTTTGAACTATAACCTTGGTATCTTGGTTAGATTTAGAATTGTACCTTGATTTAATTCACCTCAATTACTTTGGGCACATGGCCAGAAAATATTGGTCCTTGGAGAAGGACATCATGCTCTGAAGGGTGGATGGACAGTGCAGGAGAGGGAGACGCTGGATTAGATGGATTGATACAGTACCTGGGACAATGAGGGTTGGTGTGTCAGAGTTAGTGAGACTGGCTCAGGACAGGGAAGGGTTCAGAGCTGCTGTACATCACAGGTGACTCAACAGCACATAATAACAATAACATATGGCAGGTTTGGAAGCAGGAGTGGCATCTACTTCCTAAACAACATGCCTCCGGAAACTCTATGAACTATGATAAATGTTGACAGTTGTAGAGGGGATTCAGACCTTTTATTCATAGGATTGCTATGAGTAGTGCTCGACTCGAAGGCAATTAACAACAACAACAACAACAACCTTGACTTAATGATCTGTTCTCGCTTTTAGTTTTCTTACTGATATCTCTGGGCACCTAATACTAATGATAACTGCTCTGCTTGGAATGACTATTGTCTATGACAAGTATGTGATCACATAGTTACAGAATCCCAAACCTTTCAACGTCATTGGCCAAAGTATAAAGGCTTAGCAAATTAACTCCCTAAACCTTCGAATGAAGAGTTAATGTGTAAGTCATGACTGCACAAGGATATATACTTATTCAACAAACTGTATCAAGACTAAAGTGACAGCCACTCACTTTGAAAATCTTTCATCACTATTAGCAAAATGTAATGAAAAAAAAAAACCCCAACAAACCCACCCCACATCCAAATAGCTAGTTATCGACTAGCAGCAGTGTTTTCTGTATTCAACTCTGGAGAGAAATTTCCTGCTTGATTATTTCTACTGTGACTATTTTCTGAGACCCATAGCAAGATGAAAGAAGAATACCCAACAAGTTAAGACAAATAAGACAATGGCTGAGGGTAGGGGGGTGGGTTTTTAATCAGATCAGCTGAAGTTACTGAATAAGGAGCAGTTGGGAAAACAATCACGGAAGATTTGAACGGCTTTGAGAAAGTTCTCAATTAGCTTTTCCCTAATCATTTGTGTTTAGTAGCTCTTCATTCTATTTCCACAACAAGAAAAACATGTGTCATACTTGTGAATGCATTACTAATGAGTAATCCGCTAAGGAAATCAAGAGCTTTTAGCTTATACCGTGTGCGCTTTATTATAAAGTACTGTAACACAATCCCTGGCAATCAGCTTATTTAAAATTTTAAGGTCTTGGCTTTAAATAAAAACATCACACTATATTTCCTTCCTGCTTAATTTTTTTTTTGTCCTGTGTGCGCACGCACGCACACACACTTTTCAGGAAAGATTTAATGAAGTCTTAGCCACAGAGCAATTTTAAAAGAAATCTTCCTGCTAAATATTTTAATCCCCAGGATGAAAATGATCTAACCAACAGCATTATAATAGGTGCACAAAAGCTTATTAGTCCACTAATACTGTGTGGCTCAATAGCAAATGCCATTCATTAGAAAACCAAATTTCCTATCCTTCCTGGTATGTTTATAGCCATGTAAGCCTCATAATGTCAAGTTGTTCGTGTGCTGAAGTGAAACCTACATGACTGAGACTTTCTAGGGGCCCCTTTCTGTCTTGTCTTCCCAGTAGGACTCAGGCCAGGACAAGAAGAGTAGATCCTATCTATTGGTACACTCATTCTCAAATACTTAAAAATAAAACAAAACCACAAACCCAAACAAACAACAACCCAACAAACAAAAACTTTATCACTTTGTTACAAAAACATTACTTTTTTTGGTTTATCGAGTGAAAAATAACACAACTCTTTTGAGACTCCTCCAGCAGATTGGAAATAGTGCCAATTTCCACCATACCTCTTAGCTCCACCAGCATCGGGTGAAACAATAGTGCAGTTCTTCCACTCAGAGATATTCTCTTTTATCCACTTCAAAACAGCTGGCTCTGCATATAAATTGTCCACTGGGATATCAAAAAAGCCCTGGAGAGAGAAGTTGGATTAGTTTTGCTTCTTTTCCCTCCACTTCCATTTATAGATGGTTACCACCCAGAATAGTTAACTTGACCAAGGACTCACTGCAACATTCAAAGTGACTGGAAGGCATGCCCAGAATGGTCTAAAACAGAAAGCTTACTGCCACTGTGTCAGAACTGAATGGGTTTTCCAGGCTGCAAATTATACACAGGAGGAGACTGGCCACCTTCCTCTCTTGGAGAGGCTGGTGGATTTGAATCACCAGAGAGGCATGGTCTTTGGGCTAGCAGTCCAACTCCTTATGGACTACGCCATCATTTTTGTTCTGCACCATAGAGTCGGAACTGACCCATACATAGCTGACCCTCCAGCAGGTTTTCTGAGGCAATTAATTGCAAAGGAGGAGATCTCTCTAATGCTATAAAAGTGGCTTGTTTGAGCTGTGTGTGAGGATAGCCAAGATTAGCAGTCAGTCCTCAGCCAAGCCATTAACAGAATATAGGTACACAAGTGAGTCCTTGCCAAAAACAGCCAAATCCAGCCAAGACCAGAACAATTAATTGTCCGGTACATGAGTTATTACTGCTTTATATCATATTAAATGTTGGGTGAGTTTTTTAAAGAGCAGAAGTTAACAGGTTTCTTTAACCATTCACCACATGGATGAATCTAGAGTATATTATGCTGACTGGCTTAAATCCGTCACAAAAGTAAAATGGGTAAGAAAATCATCTGTCCTCTACACTTGATAATGAGCTAACAGTTGGTTTTAAAAGTATAAACTATAAGATGGTATTCTACTCCCATTACTCTGGGTTTATGCCAGAAAGGAGGTTCACATAGCTGTGATTCTAAATTTAAGATCCTGATTTGTAGTTGTTGTGTACTGTCAAATTGAAACTGACCCATCGCTGACCCTCTGGTGGGTTTTCAGAGGTAGTTAATCACATGGAAAGAGACTGCCCATTATCCCACGGAGAAGTTGTAGATTTGAACTGTACACCTTCGCTATTGCAGTGCAGCTTCTTGCTACGAGGCCACCAGAGCTCACAAAGATCCTGACTACTCAGGACTAATAGCATGATGACAATAGCTCCCATTTATTATCTATTCTCTGCTAGACATTATACTATGAATAAATTCCAGTGTTATTCCATCTCAGGATAGACACCACCTTATTTAATACTTTCAAGAAGGAAAAAGTATATGTTCAGAAAAGTTAAATAACCTACTCAAGGTTACAAAGCCAGTGTGAGTCAGACCTAGTATTCAAATGAGGTCTGATGCCAAAGATTCTCTCCCTAATCAGCCCCAAATGACTAATACTATGAAAAGCACCTAGAGTATGCATGGTTGGTGTTGCCTAGTTTATTTTAATTGCATTTGGGTAGAGTTTCTCTGCACTCATAAGTATTGTTTATTTCCCCTCTACCACCTTACTAAACCCCAATATGTAGCTTCCATTGGTACCTGAATTTGAGAAGCGTGTAGATCCATGGTGATGATATGATCTGCACCTGCTACAGACAGCATATTTGCAACAAGCTTGGCTGAGATTGGGGCCCGGCTCTGAATGGGAAGAAGAGGAATGAAAAATCAGTTTGAGTAATTGCTCAAAAACACTTTTTTATTGTGTACTTACTAATTTTAAGACATTGTGTAGCCAATACAATCATCAAAGACATGACCACCTGCCTGATCCAGGTCATAGTCTCCACAATTACTTGGTATGCATCAGAGAGCTGGACAATGACCAAAGATGACAGAAGAAGAATTGATGCCTTCAAGTTGTGGTGCTGGAGAAGAATCTTGAACATACCATGGACCACCAAGAAACAAATAGGTCTTGGAGAGGATGAGACTAAGTTTCTCCTTGGAGTCTAGGATTTTGAAGCTTTGTCTCACATGCTTTGGGCATGTAGCCAGGAGGGACCAATCCTTGGAGAAGGACGTCATGCTCAGAAGGATGGAAGGACAGTGCAGGAGAGGAAGAC